TCCCCTAGTTTCGACGCAACCTTTGTTTCATCGATTTTCGTGTTATCTCTCTGAATTTCAATCTCGATAACTGGATCTTGCGTCGAGTTGCGTCAAACGATTTGAACATTTCTTTCCACCCACCCGTTGCGTCTGCTGCCTCATTTCAAGAGCTAGCAATAAATATCTGCTTACAAAGCGAGCCACATGACTTCGTTTGGATTTGGGTTCAGTGCACGCACGCATCGTTCTGTCATTCATAACTGCAAAACTTCAGGTGATCGGGTGTCGCATCCGATGAGCATTTTGACAAGCAACTTGTTGAGGCGAAATCCGCGTCTCTGTGCTGAATTATTCAAGAATCTTTTGAAACGGTGGGTAACATTCATTAATTGTCGTATCTGTTGTAAGCTTAATTCATTGTATTCTTCAGCCAAATCTTGATCCCGAAGACTAAAATGTGTCATTTAAGACCAAAGCCCTTCATTTCTTTGTACTGTTTACTTACCGTCAAGTCACGAAATTAAATTGAATTAATTTGACTGATTACGGCCTTCGACAAAATGTTTAAGTCCTTTTAACAACTCAACCCTTACTATGATATTAGCGCGTACTTCTCATTTATTATCACGGAATGTATCTTAAGCTACTGAATTCGAGCAGACTTCATTGTTATTCCAGAAGGTCACAATGGAATTCTACTCTTCGTGGTTTGACAAACATAATTCGATCACTAGAAAGTCTTTTGCGCTAAAAAGAAATAACCAAGTAAGAAGAAACTGTAAATTCTATGTTGATGTCCAGGTATAGACAGCATTTAAAAAACATTTGATTGCGATAGACGGTCAACAGAGTCAAATCCTCGATATGAACTTTGTTGGCTGGTTACTCTCCAAATACGATTTCTGATGATGCGTGTAACACTCTGTAACACCTATTTCGTACCTTTGGAGTTTCCTGCTAACAGTTCTCAAAAGTTCAAGTTATCATAAATATGGTTGTAAGGGGACAAAATTTCCACTACGGTCTTCTTATCTGTCCTGTTCAGACGCCTCTTCAGTAATCCGATGCATGCGAAACAAGAGAAGGGAATTCTACCTTTGTGGATGCTTTCGCTTTCCATTCTTTAAGAAACCTGTAATCGAGAAAACCATTACCGAAACTACCAAAATATCCGAAAGCTAGTAATGTTTGGAGATTCTAGATATTACGGGTGTACTAAATTGAAAACGGTAAAAGGTATTAAATTCTTGGGGAGAAGGTTGTATAGTAAGGGAACAAAGGTTTCGATGCGGTCACCTCATCTGTCATTCAAGACACAAGGGAATTTTCCCATAAAATACTTCCGTTCTGGGCTTGCTTTGCCATCCGCTTTAAAACAGCGATAGTTCTAAAACAAATCACCTACAAATATCCCGCCAAAACAGATTAATTAAGAGACAGTGGAAGCTAACTCATGTCAAATCTCAGTGAAAATTTAAATCTATTAAGTAGGAGTCATTCAAAACATACATGTACATAAATATACGAAAGTTCTCGAAAAACTCAAGAAACATTTCGGATTTTCACCATCAGGTACCCCAAGAGTATTGGCGAAGAAATAAGGCCCGGACATTGACATATTGAACTGCATTGGAGGGTTCAATTCCTTTAGCTCTTTCTGAAAGAACCCGAATGATTTAGGGCTGTAAATACGGCAAGATCCTCCATAAACTGAACAGTTTTTGAGCGAGTAAATAGCAGTTAAAATAGAGGTGATGCAAATTCAAGAGAGAGGCGTCAGCGAAACATTTTAATTTCCGTAACGATAATTTAAAAGGCTTCCAAACAAATTTTGAAACATTATTTTTACAAGTATCCGTCACTATCTGACACCTGTCAATTAGAGAGCGCGTAAGTAAAAAAAAAAGCGTAAGAACATTTGAAAAACAACGGAACTAGTTTGACAAGGACTGTCACTACAATGTTTTCTTCAAAAACAGTCAATGATCTAACGGAAAGTATTATTCACTCTCATCGACGATTCATTCATGTACGAAGATTTACCTCTGTTCATTAAGTAAACGGCGAGGAAAATAATTGTGAATAAATTCATTTTTTTTATTTTGAAGTTGTGAGAGTTTGCTCGTTTGTTTGCTGCAATGGCGTGTTTATATCTGGTCTTTCCTTCACAAGAACTAAATTCGAATGGCACACTCCAAATTTAATGCGGCCTTTTCTCAAAAATTCCTTCAGTTTCTGTTGTGCAATTTACGGTACAAATGTTCAAATTGAACGGATTTGGAAAAACTCACCGAGAGCGTATATTTGTTGTAGAACTTAAATTAAAACTTCGCTCGCTCTTTCACTGCGAACAAATTGCTTGAGAAAATTCAGGTATTAAATGAATGAAAGTTCCATCGTTCAGTTTAATTGTAACCAAATACCTCGCGTTTTAACTTTCTAGGTACTTTTTGTGAACGATTAAAATTAATTGCAGACGGGTTTTAGGCCGCTTGTCAACCAACGTAATGACACTATTGTTTATACAAATTCATTCTGAAACCAATATTTTTATGTAAACCAAAGTGATTTGAGTGAGAGAAAAGAGAGGATTCATAGGTTATTCATCGGCTTGAGGTAGTGACCGACGTGTTTGCTTAAAAATACTGCCCAGCCGGAAAAAGGAGATATATTTATGAAAAATGGCAACGAAAGTTGGGATGTACTTGGCGACCCACTAAAGCGTTACCGTGGCCCGTGGGTAGAGATAGGAAAATACTGACCGGATAAAGAACCAATCAGATTGCAAGATTCGTTACCGTGCCCTCTCAAAAAAAAAAAAAAGTTATTTCCCCTAGTTACGACGCGACCTTTGTTTCGTCAATCTCCGAGTTATCTTCCTGAATTTCATTCTCGATAACTATAGATCTTGCGTCGATTTGCGTCGAAAGATTTGAAAATTTCTTTCACGTGACTTCTACTGTCTCATTTTAAGAGCTAGAAGTCAATAATTGCTAGCCAGGCGAGCTACATGACGTCGTTTCGATTGGGGCTTAACACGCACGTATCGATCTGTTATTCATAATAATACTTGTAAAACTTGCCCTTAGGCGATCGAATGTCACAACGGATGATTATTTTGACAAAACAACTTGTTAACGCGAAATCCATGTCTCTGTGTTGAATTATTCAAGAATCACTGGAAACAGTGGGTATCATTTATAATTTGTCGTATCTGTTTTAAGTTTAATTTATAGTATGCTCAGCCGAATCTTGATCCCGAAAACTCAAATGTGTCACTTAAGACCAAAGTCCTGTTTACGTACCGTCAAGTCACGAAATCAAATTGCATTAATTTGACTGGTTTCGGCCTAAGACAAAATGTTCAAGTCCTTAGAACCACTCAGTCCTTACTATGATATCAGCGCACAACTGTACTTCTTACTTATTATCACGTAATCAATGTACCTTATAAGCTACTGACTTCGAGGAGACTTCATTGTTATTCCAGAAGGTCACAGTGGAATTCTATTCCTCGTGGTTTGACAAACATAATTTGATCACTAGAAAGTCTTTTGCTCCGAAAAGAACAAAGGAAATGAGAAGAAACTGTATAAACTATGTTGAGGTCCAGGTGTAGACAGTATTTATACTTGTTAACAAAACATTTGATCGCGATAAACTATCAACAGAGCCAAAACCTCGAACCAAGTTGACCTTCGTTGACTAGCTACACTCCAAATACGATTTCTGAGGATGCGTGTATAACTGAAATTGTGATACAGAAATAACTGAAACCTATTAATTTCTGGAGATTCTAGATAACACGAGTATATGAAAACGGTAAAAAGTATTAGAAGAAAGGTGCCGGGAAGTGCCTACTTTAAGCTTTCAAATACTACAATAAGGGATCGAAGGTTTCGATACGCTCACCCTTTCTGGCATTCGCGACAGAAGGGAATTTTCGCTTTAAAGTCTTTTGCTTTCCATTGCTTGAGAAATCTCCAATCGAGATCTTTACATCTTCTGGCAGGATGTGCAAGTGCTTGATTTTGTGCCGTTATTTTTCAACTAAACGAAGTAACCGTAAAACGACGCAGAATGATTAATGGTTTGTTTGACCTCATACTTATTATAGTAAGGATGACACAGAAAAATATTCCTGAAATCACCGCATTACCGCACATGATCAGATACGCATGCTCTCGTTACAAATTAAACTCACATTACGTATTTGCATTGATAATAGTACAGTTGATTACTGCTGATGTTCTTTCGCGAATTCAAGTGGGTCCTTGCTTGCAAGCACATCATTTGTTTCTTTATCGATCAATACGGTTGATTAAGCTCCTCTATTAATGGAATTTCTCATCAGAATAAGTTAAATTAAATGCTGAAAAGGTTCATCGATATTTACACAATGGACCCACTGAACAAGAAACAACAATAACGCAAATACGAAGCACACTTCAGAATTTGAGATTAGCTCGTTACACCGCAACTTTCGATTCTATTCAAGGAAATACGGCATAAAAAACTTATACTGCAACTCTGCAATTACCAATTAATTGTTAAAATACCAAAATTTGGAACTCAGGAGTGAACAATTTGATGTAAGAGCGCATAACTTTTTTATTGTTACTGATAATAGTCATTGGACCAGTTAATTTCGTCCATGTTTGGTTTCCATGTGGACCTCTCAACCTGGCCACTCAAGAAGTTTATTTTTCATTTTGATTGGCTGGCATTGACTGACTGGCATTAATAGTTGATTTTTATTGGCTGATGGCTTAAAGTGCCTAATTTCTATTGGCTGCTTAACTGTCCGACTTGGGCTTTGCAGTTACAAACACTTGAAATCGGACAGGTGAAAATGGACAGTGGACTTGAAACAGTCAATTAAGCCACAAATGAGGGCTGATAAGAACCACTCATATTCAAACATCTCTAAAAACTGAGAAAACATATAGTCTGAACTCGCTAATATCAATCAATTTGTCTCTACTAAGGCCCTTTCAAACGTGAATATCGTCATGGCGATGGAATACAGCAAAGAGCAGCTCAACTACTACAGGATTTGTTACGTTGTCACTGATGTATTAACTGATGGTCTGCGTATAATCTTCAAACAAGAATGGGACAATCGCTACGGTACAACAACGTCAGGGGAATGGAAGGATGAACCAAGAAATGGAGTGGACTTTAAAAACAAGGAATCTGCTCAAAACCAAAAAAAAAATTCGCGTCTCCTTACAACCATGATTGGCGGAAACAGAGCAGAATGGGATTGTACGATGCTTTTCTATGCTATTCTTTACTCAGATTGTATTCACAGCCTCAGCCCAGTTGTCAAATCAAATGTCGATGCCCTCAGAAAGTTTCGAAATGAAGATTTTGCGCACATGTCGGAAGGAAACCTTTCAGACCTGCAGTTTCAAAACATCATTGGCAAAGTTGACACTGCATTTCAAGCGCTCCGTCTTTCCACAATGAAAATTCAAGAGATTAAGAATCAAACGAGCTTTCCCACGGAGGAACTGAAAGATGTCTTGAAAATGGTTGACGATCTTAAGCAGGAGCTTCAGGAGAAAGAGTGCGAAAGACAGGTCCTTGAAGATCAGTTAAACAATGATATCTCCCCCTTCTGCGTCCTCCCTCCTAAACCCTCACATGACGTAACAAGTCGCGACCGAGAGGTGGCCGAAATAATGCAACAGCTTAGAGAACTTAAAACAGCAAATAAAGACAGGTTAAGTTACCTTTACATCTCCGGAAATCCCGGAAGTGGAAAGTCTCAACTAGCGGGTCTTGTGACTGAACGATTCTACAAAGATCTTCCGGATGGTACCTCATTTGTGATGACGATAAATGGTGAAAGTCCAGATACTGTGCTACAATCGTATGTGGCTTTTTCACGGCGTCTTAAGTGTCCCGAGTACGCGGTGACAACCACCCTCCATTCAAAGGACTTGACAACAAATGAGAAAATCACCAATCTTAGGGCATTGATCGGAACGAAAATTGGGCTTTATACATCGTGGCTGCTCGTAGTTGATAATGTCGCGAGTCTATCACATGTGCATGTCCATCTACCCGAAGCCGAAAATGAGATGTGGGCAAGAGGCCAGTTGCTTATCACAACTCAAGACAGTGGGTCAATTCCTCCAGCAAGTTCCTTCAACAAACACATCTCAATAAGCAACGGAATGAATCTTGATGATGTCAGTTGTTTATTGGAAAAGCTCTCAGGAATCACGAACAAGGAGATGGAAATCAAAGTTGCTCAGGCGTTGGACTACCAGCCTCTCGCCTTGGCAAGTGCCGCCACTTATGTCAGAGAAGTTCAACAGACATCTAATTTTGGCTGGAAAGACTATCTTGCAAAACTTGAAGCAGGCCAAAGAAATGCAATGGAGACATTTCTTGCCGAAGTCAACCCAAGCTATGCAAAGTCCATGACCACAGCAACAACACTGGCCGTAGAAACAGCTATGGAATCCAACAAAATTATCCATCACGCCTTTAATTTCCTGTCCCTGTGTGCACCTCAACCATTAAGTCTTAATATCATGGAAGACTTTATCACAAGTGTGGATAAAGAAATTCAAGACATAGAGATGATTCGTTTGAAGATACAAAAATGCTCCCTGCTGATGTCTGAAAGAGACAGAACTGACGTTTACATTCGTGTGCATCAGGTTGTACATAATTCCATTAAGACTGTGGCTGCAGCTCATTTGGATGATAAGCACAACGAGGTCGTTAGTGGAGTGATTGGATCATTCAGTCGTTTTGTAGAAAAATATATATCGAGGGACAACGACGAGTTCTGTGCTCTAATAAACAGCAGACATATTACTCATTTGAAAAATTTAGCCCCAGAACTTGAGAAATATTTTTCTAAGAAGGTTATTTCTCAAGTGGACGAACGTGGCTTTTTGATCGAGAACCATGCGATGGACCTTGATAGAATGAGCCTGTTTTGCTTTAATCATTGTGAATACGAAACTTCAAGACGTTTCATCAATATGGCATTAGACGTATCTATTGTCAACGAGAACGACCCTGGCTTAGTTATTGCAGCTATCTGCAGACACATGGGTAAAGTGCTCGAAAGGCTGGGCGAACTGAGTAAGGCAAAAGATTATTATGATCGAGCACTGGCCATTTCTCTGAAAAAGCTTGGACCTGACCATGTTCACGTTGCAAATTCTTACGATGGCCTGGGTATTGTACACGCTAGGCTGAGTGACCTGAGTCAGGCAAAGGATTATCATGATCGTGCACTGGCCATTCGTCTGAAAATGTTTGGACCTGACCATCTTGACGTTGCAACTTGTTACTATAACCTGGCTATCGTACACGAGAGGCTAGTTGACCTGAGTCAGGCAAAGGATTATCATGATCGTGCACTGGCCATTCGTCTGAAAAAGCTTGGACCTGACCATGTTCACGTTGCAAATTCTTACGATGGCCTGGGTATTGTACACGCTAGGCTGAGTGACCTGAGTCAGGCAAAGGATTATCATGATGGTGCACTGGCCATTCGTCTGCAAAAGCTTGGACCTAACCATGTTCACGTTGCAAGTTCTTACAGAAGCCTGGGTATTGTACACGCTAGGCTGAGTGACCTGAGTCAGGCAAAGGATTATCATGATCGTGCACTGGCCATTCGTCTGCAAAAGCTTGGACCTGACCATGTTCACGTTGCAAGTTCTTACAGTAGCCTGGGTATTGTACACGAAAAGCTGGGTCTCCTGAGTCAGGCAAAGGATTATCATGATCGCGCACTGGCCATTTGTCTGAAAAAGCTTGGACCTGACCATCTTGACGTTGCAACTTGTTACCATAACTTGGCTATCGTGCACGAGAGGCTAGGTGACCTGAGTCAGGCAAAGGATTATCATGATCGTGCACTGGCCATTCGTCTGAAAATGTTTGGACCTGACCATCTTGACGTTGCAACTTGTTACCATAACCTGGCTATCGTACACGAGAAGCTAGGTGACCTGAGTCAGGCAAAGGATTATCATGATCGTGCACTGGCCATTCGTCTGAAAATGTTTGGACCTGACCATCTTGACGTTGCAACTTGTTACCATAACTTGGCTATCGTGCACGAGAGGCTAGGTGACCTGAGTCAGGCAAAGGATTATCATGATCGTACACTGGCCATTCGTCTGAAAATGTTTGGACCTGACCATCTTGACGTTGCAACTTCTTACCATAACCTGGCTATCGTACACGAGAAGCTAGGTGACCTGAGTCAGGCAAAGGATTATCATGATCGTACACTGGCCATTCGTCTGAAAATGTTTGGACCTGACCATCTTGACGTTGCAACTTGTTACCATAACTTGGCTATCGTGCACGAAAGGCTAGGTGACCTGAGTCAGGCAAAGGATTATCATGATCGTGCACTGGCCATTCGTCTGAAAATGTTTGGACCTGACCATCTTGACGTTGCAACTTGTTACCATAACTTGGCTATCGTGCACGAGAGGCTAGGTGACCTGAGTCAGGCAAAGGATTATCATGATCGTGCACTGGCCATTCGTCTGAAAAAGCTTGGACCTGACCATGTTCGCGTTGCAATTTCCTACGATTGCCTGGGTATTGTGCACGCTAGTCTGGGTGACCTGAGTCAGGCAAAGGATTATCATGATCGTGCACTGGTTATTCGTCTGAAAAAGCTTGGACCTGACCATGTTCACGTTGCAACTTCTTACCATAACCTGGCTATCGTACACGAGAAGCTAGGTGACCTGAGTCAGGCAAAGGATTATCATGATTGTGCACTGGCCATTCGTCTGAAAAAGCTTGGACCTGACCATGTTGACGTTGCAAATTCTTACAATAGCCTGGGTGTTATACACATAAAACTGGGTGATCTGAGTCAGGGCAAAGATTATCATGATCGTGCACTGGCCATTCGTCTGAAAAAGCTCTGACATGAGCACATTAAGGTCATAGCTGCTTGCATTGACTCGGGGCTTGCGCACGCATACTGTTCTATTAATTTTTAGTTTTATTCTCCTTCTTCGCCTTCACTGCCGTCTCGAATTCATTGTCAATAATCTCCTCTGCATCTTCCGTCTCTTCATTCTCTTCTTCCCAAACTGCATCGTCTTCTGAGCCGTCTGGCGCATTCGCGATTCCACAGGATTTGAATGACTGCTCAATTAAATCTTGAGGAATTCCGTTCCAGACGCGATTGATCCAGGTCAACACCAGTTCTTTGCTCGGCGCTCTCTTCTTTCCAGATGGGGTATACGTGAACGGGCCATTTACTGTCCATGTTTCATGCAGCATTCGGAGTTTGACTTTGAAAGGCTTGTTTATGCACTTGTCTAGGGGCTGCAAAACTGACGTCAGGCCACCGGGACTAACAGCAACATCAAAAGTTCGTCTCGCACTGTTCGGTTGCCCGTGAATTCGAGGGTTCTTGTGGCTGGCAGCTCAAATCGCATGGGAGTTTCGTCCGTGTCTCAAGATGTGGCTTAACTGGTAGTCATGACGTCACCGGGCCCGCAACGCAAACCGATGGAATTCGACAATCTTCTCTTCCATGTCTGCTGGTAGACGCTGCGCCAAAGTTGTTTTCGCCCTCATAGATACAGCGTTGCGACGTTTCCAGGTGTTGTACCACCCTGTAGATGCCTTGAACTCCGGATCGGAGCTGAGTTCCTTCGCCTTTAACCGGAGCATTACGCTATTAACTGAGAGACCTGCAAAAAATAGAACGGTACAGTGTTAAAGGACAAGGTATTTTACGTGCACGTGTTGCATGTTAACACTGATCTTCTGGATTGTTAATCAATTAGCGCAAATTGAAGACAAAACAATTCTTTATCGTACCTTGACTTCTTTGATCGTTAAACCAGTCTGCTAAGCGTTGATCCAGTTCTGGATATTTTGGTTTGTACCGACCTATGGATGCACGTTTGGCAATCATCTTTAACTCGCCATTAAACAGCATGTGCTGTTGGTTTCGCCATTTGCGAACCATTGACTTGGATATTCCGTACTCGCGTGCAATTTTAACGAACGTGTATCATAACAGAGGATCATTGTGGAAAGATTTAAAATCACATGCTCTAATTTTTAAATCAATTCATTTTTAAAAGTTCTTCCATGTAGATTTGTTCTCGAATTGTTTTGCTGTTGTCTTTCATGTGACAATTCGCAGTCGATCTCAATCGCACAAATCGGTGTCCTTGTCGTTATTGTGAAGTTCTTTATTTAATGCTGTCTTCTTCTAATCACAGCCTGCTTCTAAGATTCGCTGATGACACATTTGACCCTGACATTGGATCCACCATAGGTAAGAGTTAAAAAGAAATGAGACTCTGAAATCTTCACGACACTGAGTCATTTTGAAAAATCTAGTAGTAATTCATATAGGGCTGTATTTTGGCCTTTGTTTATACTTTGCCTCACATAATTCTTGGAAAAAAATAAGTGAAACACAAAGACAACCCGTCTGCCATTTCAAAATATCTTAACCCTTTAACTCCTAAGAGTGATTGACATCTAATTTCTCCTCACAATATCACCTCTGAACCAAACGTTAAGGTCACAAGAATAACACAAATGATTGTAAACTAAAGAAACTCTTGATTGTGAAGCAAATTCTCCTTATCAGCACCTTAGGAAATGTTTAGAGAACAGGATGGAGAATATAGATATCCATGTTAGGTTGCAAAGGTTTAATTACAACTTTTTGCATTTTGTACTCTTTCATCATATCCTTTTAAGGGATGGGAATCAATTGTTCCTTTGAAGTCTTTTCATGGTTGTAGTTACACTCTGTAGTCAACTCTCTTATAAACAGACACCTTTAGGAATTGAGAGAAAAGTGTCTGTTAGTAGAGCTGTCTGCCTATTAGCATAAATCGCATAAGTGGACACCAAAGAAATATAGGGGTGATATCTGATTACAGGAGAGTTCATAAGCAGGTATTAAATGAACTTTTTTTGGCCAAATGGAGATTTGAATAAACAGATCATCACTGTTCTGTTACCTTGTCAAAGGAGATATTTTTGTTGATTTGCAAATTAAAGACAAATTTCATTGCCAAGAGTCAATTAGTATGTATGGGGTGTCAGCTATCATGAGAGGATAAATAAAAGAACAATCTAATTTTCACTTTCATAAGTGTCTGCAACTGTTGACAAGGGAGTGTTAGCTGACTGGAATGGGTAAAAACAGAGTCTGACTAAGAGGTGAAAAAAGTGTCTGTAAAAAGAGCTGACTACATACAAGATTGTTCATTAGCAGAGAGTTGATTGTACAAATAAAACCTTCTACTGGTATTGCACAGTTTATGCTTCCTGTCCTAAAGATCTGGACATTATGTGCTTTGTAACCAGCACCAAAGATATTTATGTATATGTATCCTCTAGTCATACTTAAAACCATTACAGTGTGCTGTTTGGCCAGCTCTTAAATAACCTTTTGTGCTCAGTTGTTCAAAAGCTAGAAAAAACTAACCAACTAAATGACCTGCTATCTGATCGATAGCATAGCCTGTATTGCTATCACCAGCAGTTAGCAATTTATGGGATAAATTGTACTGTCCAGCTTGAAGCAATGGCACCAGGTCATCAGTACTTTGTTATGAAATCATGTAGCCATTGTTTTCCAGTTAACCCTTTGCAACCTAACATCAGTGTGCATATTCTCCATACTGTTCTCTATACATCTCCTAAGGTGCTAACAAGAAGAATTTGTCTAAGAATCAAGAGTTTCTTTTTTGGTGATCATTCCCTTTATTCTCATAACCTTAATGTGTGATTAAGGGATGATGTTGTGAGGAGAAATAGAATACAGTGGTCACTCTAAGGGTGAAAGGGCCAAGATCCATTTCTGTTATTGCATGATAAGTGATGTCTTTGTTTCAAGGTTCTTGTTTTGAAGAAAAAAATGGTTCATATCATTCTGGTTTTTAGTGATAGTACTGTTTGTTTGTTTGTTTGTTTTTTTTACATGAACCTTTCTGTACAGGTGTTGACTTCAAGGTTAAAACTTTGACTGTGGATGGAAACAAAGCAAAACTAGCAATTTGGGTAAGAACTGCTGTTGATGAATGATGACACAACTGTAATTCATGATGCTTGAGTGACAGCTAAGGTTTACTGTCGAATTACTTTATAATTAATTTGATAATTCGTTTTGATAGTTTAATGGTTATAACATCACTTTTCTGTTTCAGGACACAACAGGGCAGGAACGCTTCAGAACACTGACTCCCAGCTACTACAGGGGAGCACAAGGAGTTATTTTAGGTACTAGAAATAAAATGATTTTCACCTCCTAATTACTTGCTGTCATCACTCTTTAAAAAAAATTGTCTTGTTGATTTTGTAGTGTGAGAGAAGGTGACAAAATTGCAGCATTGATATTGATACACAGTAGTTTTCAAACTAATAGAAACTTAAGCATTTCTTAACTTTCAGTGGTGAGTTGAAATTTATGTTGGTGTCAAATCACCTCTGAAAATTAATAAATGCTGAAATAGTTTGCATTAAGTTTCCCCTGATTTCCTATGCTAACAACATCAATGGTACATACCATATAGTTCCTCAAATAAGTTCCCAGGTGCTGATTTAAAATTCTGGTGGAAAGGACAGGCACTTATTTGAAGGAGGGCACTTATTCAAGTGGGTGCCTATCTAAGTTAGCGCAGCAATAGGGGAAAGCTATAAAGAACAGATACTGTACGTAAAGGAACTCTGCAAGCACATAGAGATAGAGATGAGTGGTGAAAGTGGCTTCAGGGAAAAGAAACTATTCTCCTGCACTGATCTTGCTGTAGTTGAAGCTTCAAAAGTTGTAAATAAACTGTTAACAGAGACAGGTTTTTCTTTTATCCTTCCTATCTAAAATTGTGAGGGAGGGAGGGGTCCTTATTCAAGAGGGTTGCTTGTTTAACTTAATGGCCAAGGGGGTGGGCACTTCTTTGGAAAAGGGCATTTATTAGAGCATGAGCACTTATTCATTGAGGAAATACGTTATTCAGTGAAAGTTCTCAGTGCTTCATCGTGTTTGTTTTCAATCACTAATTTTAATCGTACAGTCATGGATGAGATTGTTCATGATAGCATTAAAGAAAATCTTGTTTTTTTCCCTTTAGTTGAGAAAGTGGAAGAATGGCTCGATGAAATAGAAATGTATTCAACAAAAAAAGACATCATAAAAATGCTTGTTGGCAACGAAATAGACAAGGTACAGTGAAACTTTTGTGTTTTTATATTAGACCAGATTATTATTACTGATTTTTATTATTAAAAACTGGAGTCTTCTCCCTCAATTTGAACCTAGAGATAAAATGAATATCTTACCAACCTTGGTGGTCTATACTATAAGTTATGGAACTTTTTTTTTTTTTTTTTTTTTTACTCATACTTAGACTTAGCATTATTTCTTAAGCTGTTGTGCTTAATTAATACTCCTATCTTCCAATATTCCTAAACTTTAGAAATCTCTTGTGGGTACATGTATTTGCTTGGTACAGGATTAACTGTAATTTCATACAGTAAAGTTTTGTGCACGCTTGATGTGCCAGAAATTCAGATTTGCATACTGTGCTTTTTAGAAGGGTTGTGAAGTTGATAGAAAATGGAGATTACAATTTGCAAGAAGACATTCCATGTTATTTATTGAAGCAAGGTTAGTGTCAGCTTGAGTAATAAATATTGATTCCACTGAAATCAAGGATCAAATGGTTTTTTTTTTGAACGGCCACCTATGTAATGGCACAAGATGGTGTGGTGAAACAACTATGAAGATAATTGTTCAGGGACTGGAAGAATGACAAAAAGAAAAATTAAAGAAAATAGTTATTTTATGTTCAAATGTTTGTACTTTTTATGAAAAAAAGCCATAATTTTAATTAGAGTATGTATCAAAATTGTACAGAAAGGTGGTAAAGAGTTTCTTTTAACCCTATAACTTCCCAGATCTAATTGTTAATTCTCCCCTCTAGCTGTTACACATTTCCTTGTAAATTACTTGGGAGAATTTGGTGTCATACCATAATTATAACTTCTATCTGATAAGTTTAAGTATTCTCATTACCTGTTTGCTGGATAATGTATGGATATTATAATGAGAAGTTATATGTTAATCATTTCTGGGAATTAAAGGGTTAATTAGTTTTTAGCTGGTGATCAAAATGGTATCCTGTCTTTCAACAAAATAACTGTACATTGTGTCATCTAAGTTTTATTTTTGATGAAGAAATGTTGCTTTTTTTTTTTGTAGTGCAAGAACAAGAGAGGGGGTTCAACTTGCTTTTGAGGAACTAGTAGAGAAGGTATTTAAACAACTGAGCAATTAAAATGTTGTACAATGTAATATTATGGAGGACATAGAGGCTGTGACCCTTTAACTCCCATTGGCTTCCAGCCATCATGGGTTATGAGCTATTACATCATGCTCTACAAATATGATAAGGGTGATCATAAAAAAGTAAAGTTTATAAAATAAAGTTGGGAAGATTATTTTGGGGTGTTTTTAGATCTAATCTTAACAGCAGTCTAGTGTAGTGTGCAAGGGTTGGGCCCAAGGTGGTCCTTTTACTTTGATTCATAATTTGCATATTCCCAGGGCATTTTATTGATATATGTAAATGACTTTGCACAATTCTCTGAAGTGAGCCTAAATTTATTTCTGTTAATTGTTTGTCTGAGGTCACCAAACAAGGCGAGAGATTTAACTAAGAAGTACATGTCAATACAGAAGCATCTCTAAATTATTGAATTTTTTAAGTATAGATTTTTAAAAGGAAAATCACAAACTGCAAATGCGCAACTTGTTCATCTCACAGAAATCTGCCATGACTTAAAATTAGAAGTCACTGCCATCTTTACATACAGGTTATTGTCCAAAATGTGTGGGTTATAGTGTAAAATTTAAAGAATATTGATAAATGTCGAACAAATAGATTGTCATTGATTGCAGTCATCATAACAAGAATATTAAGGCTACAGAAGCTTTATCATGCAAAAAAAATTAACAACTACTTCTGGCTCAAGATTGATTGTAGCACTTTAATTTTGAGTCATGCCCTTTTTATAAGATCCTAAATTGTTTTTTTTTTCTTCGACTTTAACTTTGACTTAAAGGTTTTGAATGCACAAGTTGAAGTTTGGGAAAATATAATTATAATATATTATTATTAACAGATTTGAAACAATGCTAAACATTGCATAGTTGCATTTTTAGACTTACACTGATGGTCCTCTTAGCATTAACATGACAAGGGAATCTAAAAGTTGAGTTGGACAAGTTAAGGTTTGCGGATTGGTTCCACAGAGATGTTTCTGATAATTTTCTTTCATTTTGCAGCAAATTTGACGACCTTTGTAAGGAAACTGCAGTGGAAAGCAATGAATTGGTAAGTTTATTTGGACCAAAATGTGAATTCCCCTGAGAGAGAGAGAGAGTTCTAGTTTCCTTCATTCATGACAGACACAGAATTTTCTTTCAGTTATTTTACAGCAAGACCTTTTAGTCAGTGTCTCAAAATTCATTTTATAATCTTGTAGACTGCAGACTAGCAATGCATTCATACTACTACTGTCTCAACTTCCACATGGATACTATAAATACAATAAATTTATTTTTGTGGGTATGTGTGTGTGTAATATCAATATATGGTAACTTAATGCATCAAAATTTTAGGTCAATTCACTTATATTTTAAGACTGAAGTTGCGCAGTTAAAACCTAATACATTTATTAATTTTTCTTTTCAATTAATTCTTAAAATTGGATTAGATTTTGGCTGTGTGGAGATTTAGGACAGAAGTTAACCCCTTGCACCTTAATATCAGTATGCATATTCTCCATACTGTTCCCTATACAATTCATAAGCTGCTGACAAGGAGAAGTTGTTCAACAGTCAAGAACTTCTTCAGCTGGTGATCATTTTTATTGTTATTGCCTCCCATGGAAGCAAAGCCATTATGTTGTCCTGTTGAGTTGGATGAGGGTGACAATAGAAGACAAATGACCTCTTCATCCACAACAGAGTCTGCCGAGTTTTACCTGATATTCTTCGCAATGATAAAATTGAAAAAAAATCTGCTCTATTTATTAATTTAATATTGCTCAGTTCCAAGAAAACTGATATTTGAAATATTCACTAATCTATAACTATTCAATTAAAAAGTGATAAACTTCCATTGCAAACATCTGTACATAAGTTACAAATGGTGCACATGTCCTCAAGAAAAGAAGTCAAGTCTTTCTTTCTGCATCATCATACAACCTCTGGTTCTTTTCATTGCTATTAAAAAAATTGTGCTATGTCAGTAGCAATATGCATATGTTGGTTATTCATAGCCATATGTTGGTTTCTTAACTGCCTATTTTCTTTATTATTGTGACCTTAATGTTTGATTCAGGGGTGATATATATTATGAAGAAATGCTAGTCACTCTTAGGGTCAAAGGGTTGATTAACACAATTTCAGTTCTGGAGGAAATTGTAGTTAAACTGTTGCAACTCTTCTAAATGTATAGTATTGTTGTACATGTAGTTATTTCTCTTGAGGTGTCTTTCCTGGATGGAAATTTCATCCTGTATCTTCCAGATGTTTAAAAAGTGAAGTTCTTAACAAAATACGTTTTGTGCTTTTTGTTTTGTTGTAGGCATCCTCACTTGATGTAATGAAATCTGCAGCAAGGAAGTTCATTGATTTTGTTAACAATGGTCCCTCGCCTTACCATGGTATGTTTTATCCCTGTAGCTTCAGAGTCTGGTGAACTTCTTAAATTGTTTGCTGTCTCTTCATCTTTTTAAACCAGTGTTAAAATGTATTAGGAATTAGTTTTACAGTATATACACAACTAGAGACTCTTAATTTCCATTTCAACATGAACAATATCAAGACATGATTCAGTCCAAGGGTAAACAGCAACAACAATCTTAGAGACAAATGTGATTCAAACCTTGGGAAACAAGGGATTCACTGAAAATCTCATCATTTGTCTCATGATATAAAATATTGGTAAAATCAAGCCATCAATGAAAGATCACAATATTATTGTTGTTATACTGCTATTCTTTGTAAGGCTAGAGGTTAAGTGGTGAAATGAAGGTGTTGCATGACAGTGAGGTGCTTTGACTAAAAGAGCAATGTAGCTTGTATGCATTAATATTACCAGTTTACCATCTGGCTGCATGAATTTGGGTGCATAAGGAAACAGACTCAATACCTTATAAAGACAGCAGAATCACCTCAGTTGCATGCCCCAGAGTTGGGGCTTTTTAATAAACTTTTGGAAAAGTTTCTGTTTGGACATGACCCAAAATCACAAAATGGTTGCCAAAAATAAAAACTCTGCTGTCTGGGAAATCACATGGTGCACTTAAAATTGGCCACACCTGTGTTCTTTGAAATGATTGAGGGACCCATCTTTATTTCTGTAGAGAGGGAGGGAAAAATATCTTGGAGGGAAAAATATCTTGGAGATAAAAATTTCTAAAAGCCCCCCCACCCTTTCAGGCCATGTAAATAGTAAGTGACCCTCCTCCTTTACAGAAAAATTATGTGATGACCTCCTCCCCTCCCCCTGTAAAACAGATCATTAACATAGAAACTTACATTGCAAATTTATTGCCTTTTTATTTTTGTCTTACCCACCATGGGGACCAAAACAGTTTTAGCTTGGCCAGGAGCACTACAGAGGATAATGTTATCAAAATCCTCCCCTTGTTCAAGAGCTTGCCTGCATCAATGACCTATCTTTCATGTTATTCTTCTTTGCCCTGTTTAGTATTTTGTGACCAGAAACCAGTCAACTGATGATCATTGCATTTGCTGTTGGTGGGAAGTATGTTCCTGGAAATGGTTTCAGCATTGTAGGAGCTCATACTGATAGCCCCTGTCTCAAGGTACACTGGAAAAAGTCTTCTCATTAAAAAATAGTCACTGAAAAAATCATTCATTTAAGAGAAGAGGTCACAATATTTCAAAGATTTTTGGTAATACCATCATGGTTTAAGACTATCTATTTCACAGCATGTTTCTGGCTCTTGATCTATGAGAAATTTTGGATAATTTGAGAAAATTATGCAGACCCTGGACTACTGGTATGGTTTTCGCAGGTGTTAAAAGCTGTGCTGTCTACTTAAGTGAAAATATTTTTGCTCCCCTTTTTTCTTGAATCAATTCAATCTTGGACACGTTAATTAAATGTTCAACATCCCTTCTTCCCTCACTCAGACATGGCAATGTTAAACTTCCAACCCAGGGGTGTGACCTGATGGATTTTGGACTTCACGTCATGGTATATCCTGCACAATTCATTTATTTATTTATTTCCATAGGGTACAGTAATAAAGATTAACAGTAATCAAAATTATGCAACAACAGCACTGTCCTCTAGCATTTTAAGGCTGATTGCAGAGAAGAGTGAGGTTCCACTGCAGGTAAAAGTTCAGGGATGTGTTACATAAAAAATTGTTACAATTGGTTACCTTTGCTTGAACTTCTACAAGTACCAAGCAATAGCTTTAATTCCATCGTATCTTGTTTTTATTAAAGGAAGTGTGTGTGCAGAATGATTCCACACGTGGAACCACTATAGGCCCCATCCTGTCTGCCAAGCTTGGTTTATTAACCAAAGGTAATTGAATTTTGTTGTAAATACTAGCAATGTACAAATGCATTTTACCCACTAAACACAAGAGTAAAAGGTTGGTTAACTGCATGCTATGGTCAGATGTAGGACATATCATTGCCATCTGTTCAGCTTGTGAGCAGGCTCTTGTGTTTGGGTTACGCCATCGGCAGCTACTAATGGAAAAAAGTTGTTGAAACTGCTGCTAAACTCTTATTTTTCTGATAGGTATTTACATTGGTGTAAGCCAGACTGTGCTTTGCTATTATTTCAGGAGTTATCTGCTCCCAGACTTCTTTTTGTTTACTGCCATAAAGCTCTACCATTACAATATCTAAGAATTTGCGGATGTTATGAATTTTATCAGGCATCTAAACATCACTGTCAGAAGTGATATAGACAGTTTGCAAACAGTCACGCATTCTCAAAGAAGTATGAAAATTTGGTGAATAATCAGAATTTTTAAGACCTAGGAAAAGTATGAAGAGTGAAACAAGAAGTCTTCAAAAAAATTGGGATGAAGCCAGAAGTTTAAACCGAGGAAAGCAAGTGCGTTATTACTGAGTGAGGTTAAGCTAAATATCTAGAAGTACATGGTAAACAAGTAACAAGCCAGATTCATCTTGAGTATTGCAAACTTTATTTATGATCTGTTTTTAGACCTTGGCGGTCCCCAGCTAGCAATGCACTCCGTCCGAGAAATGTGCTGCTCCTCCATTGTACATCAAGAGACACTGCTATTCAAGGTGACAATTTCTTTGCACAGTAAGGCATTCATAAGCTGGCGTTACATGATCTGTCGCGCAACGCTATCTTATGGTGGCCGGCAAACGGTGTGTTCTTTAGTCCATACCAGACAAACAAGTAAAATGCTTCTAAAGAGCGCAATCATCGCACTGTATGATCTGTTGGCGTGGTCAAAGTATATTACCTTCATAACTTATTTTGTTATTGTTAAGAAGGTCACAAATAGACATAGTAGGAATTGATTTGTATGTTACGCGCTTACCTTTTACTAACTTGTCGTAAGCGACAATCAACATTTGTTTACTGGGATTTTAATCATCACCAGGAGCCCATTACTAATGGGTTCCTGTCATTACTGAGTGTTTGGACGGGTGCGAATCTACCATGGGGTTGAACAAAGTGATTCTCCTTAGCAATTAATTGATAGTTTTTTAGTTTTTGTTTTTTGTTTTATTTTGCGGGGTTTCTTTGAGACAGTTCTAACAGCACTGGATTCCGTAGTAGGAGCTCTCTAAAGTCAAGCCAACGGCATTCCTGAGCTTTTTTTGCATGAATCCTCCCCCCAATCTCCGTTTAAGGGATTTTTGCTTGAAAAGCAATGTAGGTTCAACTCAGCAAAGCAAACAAGACAAGAACAATGTAAAAATGTAAAAATTGTGTAACAAGGGAAGGGGTAGAAGACGGGAGCATGTAAACAAGAGATAGTATTCAAACAGTGTATTCTGTAAACTTTCTCATTTATCCATTGTCTTTTAGAATCAAGCAGGACGTGTACAAGCATAAAAGGGTGGTTCTTGGAATTGTGTGCATTGTTTTGTATTTACGATCTAAAAACAAGGATGACGAAAAGCATGTGAAAAGTACATAGAAATTAGCACGCTCAGCACAATAAATGTTTGCACTACTCTTCTGATTCGATCCAGCTGCTGAATTTCTACCGAAAAAGTTTCTTGAAACTGAGAGTATATATTGATAATATTCATCGTGTTTGTTTTGTGTTAAGTTGCTAATACGAAAGGTGTCTACACACCAAAGAACTAAAACCGAATACCTCCGGAAGCTTATATTTCCTTTATTTCAGCATACGAAATCAGTTTAAGAAACATCTACTGATCAAAAACACAGTCAAGATCGAGATGTATGTTGAACATTTGAGAACCAGTAATTCCAACCAAAGTTGACCCTCGCCTGTTCAATTACTTCTTCTTCTCTTCTCTCGCACGGAGAGTGAAATCAAGCTTAAGGTTTCTTTAACATTTTCAGAGGTTACTATGTGGCAAAATCATGCCAAATCTAGTATATCTTCGAAAATAGAGCCGATAGTAATATTTTAGATATTTGAATTAGTCACGAAAGCCCAAGGATACAGCTAACTCGTAAGTAGAGAAGTGAGTACAGTGACGAATGAAAGTAAAACGAATGACGGAAGTGAATGTTCCGTGACTCTTGGAAGCTTACAGAGAAATCTCACGAAATTCATCCGAAAACACCACTTAAGTTACTTAAGTTCCTCCAATAGGTCCTCATCTCCAACACGCAAATTTTCATCTTAAATTTATTTTCAGGGTTTATTCTAAGCATCACTGAACAAAACCTGAAAAAGACAATTCGATTTTAGGCGAAAACTCAACATTACTTGTTTGAGTCCCACTAGGTGGGACCGCTGTTACAACGCGGTTCCATTTCAACTTCGTAGCAAGCAACTCATCAAATATAAATTGCAATTTCGCGTTTTAAGCGGCGGCTAAAAATTACAATTCGAAGGTGACCTTCAGAGGAAACAAAATCTCCTGCGAAATGGACTTCCGTGTAGTAAATCGTCATTAGTCTATATCAAGTGATCGTACTTTTGGAATTATAGATAGCGTTATAAATATCCTATGACTAAGCTGCGTAACCTTAGCAACAGACACATACACACTGACATAGCAAGATTTGGTGGTCACACATAAAACTTAGTCTTTTCCGCAGGAAGCCCAAGTAATGAGGAACGTTTGGTTAGATAATTAAGATGAAGTCATCAAAGAACAATGCCGCGCGAAAACGGCTCTCTATAGAAGAGAATTTAATTTGCAACCGATTCTATGATTATTTATAAATATATTAAATAGAAGTCATTTAAAACATACATGTACATAAATATAGAAAAGTTCCCGTAAAACTCAAGAAACATTAAGGATTGACATCGAAGACATTGACCTACACTTGTATGGTTCAAATCCTTTAGCTCTTGAGTTAAAATAAGGTGTAAAGTTATCAATTTATTTTCCCTAGTTTCGACGCATTCTTTGTTTCATTAATCTCCAAGTCATCTTTCTGTATTTCTTTCGCGATAGCTGCATCTTCCGTCGAGTTGCGTCAAAAGATTTGAAAATTTCTTTCACTTGGCGTCTACTGTCTCATTTCAAGAGCTAGAAATCAGTAATTGCTAGCCAGGCGAGCTACATGATGCCGTTTCCATTGGTGCTCATTGCTCCGTATCGATCTATCATTCATAACATTACTTGTAATAACTTACCCTTAAGAGGTGGGGTGTCACAACGGATGATCATTTTGACAAAACAACTCGTTGACGCGAAATCCATTTCTGTGCTAAATTACTCAAGAATCTCTTGAAACGGTGGGTATCATTCATTATTGGTCGTATCTGTTTTAAGGTCAATTCATAGTACGCTTCAGCCGAATCTTGATCCCGAAAACTCATATGTGTAATTTGAGACCGAAGCCCGTCGTTTCTTCGTACTGTTTACATACCGTCAAGTCACGAAATCAAATTGAATTAATTTGACTGGTTTCGGCCTAAGACAAAACTGCGTAAGTCCTTAAAATCACCCAGTCCTTGCTAAGATATCAGCGCACAGCTGTGCTTCTAACTTATTATCACGGAATGTATCTTAAGCTACTGAATTCGCGCAGACTTTACTGTTATTCCAGAAGGTCACCGTGGAATTCTACTCTTCGTGGTTTGAAAATCATAATTTGATCACTGGAAGGTGTTTTACGCCGAAAAGAACAAAGCAAATGAGAAGAAACTGTATAAACTATGTTGAGACATTTATACTTGTTAAAAAAAAACATTTGATCGCGATGAACTAGCCACTGAGCCAAAACCTCGAACCCAGTTGACCTTCGTTGACTAGTTTCTCTCCAAATACGATTTCTGATGATGCGTGCGAAGGGAACGAAAATTTCGCTACGTTCCACTTATCTACCTTGTTCAGAAGTCTCTTCAGTAATCCGATGCATTCGTAACAAGAGAAGGGAATTTTCCCTTTGCGGATGCTTTCGCTTTCCATTCTTTGAGACCCCTGTAATCGAAAAAACCATCAACAACCGAAAGATCCGAAAGCTAGTAATTTTTGGAGAGTCTAGATAACACTAGTGTATTTAACTGAAAACGGTAAAAAGTGTCAAATTATTGGAAAAAATGCGCCGGGAAGTGCTTACTTCAAGCTTTTAAATACTACATTAAGGGAAAGAAGGTTTCGATACGGTCACCCCATGTGTCATCCGAACACAGAAGGGAATATTCCCTTTATATAATTTCGCTTTTCATTGTTTGAGAAACCTGCAATCGAGATCTTTACATCGTCAGGCAGGATGTGCAAGTGCTTGATTTTGTGCCGTTATTTTTCAACTAAACAAAGCAACCGTAAAACGAAGCAGAATGATTAATGGTTTGTTTGACCTCATACTTATTATAGTAAGGATGACACAGCAAAATATTCCTGAAATCACCGCAGTACCGTAACTGATCAGCTACACACGCTCTCATTACGACTTAAACCCACAATACGTATTTGCATTGATTAGCCTACTGAACAAGAAACAACAATAACGCAAATACGTTTGCGTTGTTGAGCGCACAGAGACAGCACACTTTAGAATTTGAGATCAGCTTGTTACACCGTAACTTTCGGAAATGCGGCATAAAAAAACTTATACTGCAACTCTGCAATTAACAATTAATTGTGTAAATACTAAAATGTGAGAAACTCAGGGGTGAAAAATTTGATGTAATAGCACATGACCTTTTTTTATTGATACTGATAACAGTCATTGGACCAGCTAATTTCATCCACGTTTGTTTTCAATGTGGACCTCTCAAGCTGCCCAATCAAGCGGTTTTCTTTTTCATTTTGATTGGCTGGCATTGGCTGAGTAGTTGATTTTTGTTGGCTGATGGCTTAAAGTGCTTAAGAGGACATCCGTGCAAAAATCAAACAAAAATGAAGTTTTTATGGCAAGAATCAAAAATTCAAATTGTCTCAATTTTTGCTCACAAGTAGACCTTAGTAAGACAAGAAAGGCTGTGTATTTTTTTTCCTCAAATATGTTTTTATTTTCGAGAAAAACGAACTTTTCGCTTTCAACCTCTAGAATCGATGGATCGGGTCATGACAGGTCGAAAATTGAACACTTTCGCTCGCTTCGCATTTCAAAGATATTGAATCAAGGGAAATCTATCCAACGTGTGCTCTTCCATAGACTCTTCGTCCTCTATAAAATGTAAGTTATGTAGGAATTGGTTACTTAGAAGCTTTTGGCCATGCGAAAAAGCAATGTTCTCTCTTCCGTTACAAAAACATGTTGGTGAAGAAAACCTCTTTTTTCACCATGTGCCTTTATTCAGAATTCCACCAAATTACGTATGTAAATTGCCGAAAGAATGATCTTCAAAATGACGTAAAGTTTTCTTTGGGTAAATGTTTTCTCACGACGCAGGAAACTCTTCAAGATAGCACATGAAGGACATAAAATCACCCAATATGATGATTGCGTGACCAAAGAGTTAAGGAGCATTCCTGCCATCGAAATTACTCAAAATCGTACAGGAGAACTTTTTCAGAAATAAATGACAAATTTATACCCAGTTTTGTTAAATTACTTTGTCTTTTATCATTTGAAGTTTGTTTCTGCAGAGATATTCTGCCATCGTTCTGTATAGTACGATTATGCACCAATGCCAGCAACGGCATACGACTAAAAACTTTGCTGGTCTCTCGCATACGAATCTTAAGTTTCTGTCCATTGTTTAACTTTGTATTTGTGCTTACCCGTGCCTTTTAACCAGCACTCGATAAAAACCAACAAAGTTTTCAAAGGGAGGTTTTTGCAGGAGTTACGTGGACTAAATGAGGGCTTGAATGGCCTTATTAACATAATTGTAGGTATGGTCGCTCGACGGTCCTTTTTTAAAATAAGCACAATTACGTAGAAAAGAAAAAGTCTTAATATCCATTTCGCTCTGATGTTGCCTTCATTTTTTACCCAAGTTGACTTTTTTTGGCTGGAGTGAAAATACTTTTTAATTACCGCAATGTCTGTTCGCTTTGTGACGTATAGGCAAGACAATGAACTTTGCAAAATTTAATCAACCGCGAAAGTATCGCTTGCCTTAACTGTCACTGCTCTTACAGCAAGTAACCTTTTCGGCGCTTCTAACAAACTTCAGCTTCTTTGTTCGGTAAAAACACAGTTGCAAAACCGTGTCAGCAGGACTGTACACCAAAGAATTCACAACTAACAGCAGCTGCAGGGACCATCAAACATTGTCAATCATTCCCCATGTGCCTGACATTGGCATACGGCTTCTTCCTCTTAACGTTGACCTGGGAAGTATCGAGTCCGAGAGAAGTACAAATGTCATTTAACGCTTTAACTGAGAAGTTTGAAAGCCTAGAATTCTTAACTAGTTTACAAATGCTGTAATCGTTGTACGAGATTGGATGTGCGTGCTGAATAGAAATTTCAGACACCACCTTTTTCTTCATCGCTTGTGGCTGGCTCTCCTTTTCTGCTCTGATTTGCTCATCGTCATCGCTCTGGTTGACCTCTTAGTGGTCGAGACTTCGCTTTGAGGCCAGACGAGAAAAAGAAATAGAAATTTGTCTGTTTGTAAGAAACTCAGAGCAGTCAAATAGCTGCTCGCCGTTTTCGTCTTTCTCAGACCTCATTTATCTTGAGACACTTGCAGCATCTGCCTTTTGTCCCGTTTGTTCTCCAGTTTGAAACTTGGCTATCAAGTAGTCCTTTTGCTTATTAGTGGAACGAGTATTGCGAGAAAGACTCTGCTTTAGGGCCCATCCCATTTCAAGAGAAGCTGCAGACGATGACGGGGTGGATTCCCTGTTTCGCAGTTCCGCCACAGCACTCGGTCCTTTCTCCGGTCTAGAGGCATACCCTAGCACGGCGCAGTAAAGAGTTTCATATTCAGGAACATATTTGTGTCTCCCACATTCGAAATGCTTCTGTAATGACGAATGGCGTTGATAGGACTTAATGCAACCCTCTTCCGAGCAGAAAAAAATATTTTTAGTTGTGGAATCGCGCGATTCTTCACTTGAGTCATCGGTACCTTCATCAGTACTGGCTTGGTGCTTTTGAGACGTTTTAGTGACCTCAGCTCGTCTCAGCGTGATAGGAACAAAATTAGCTTTTATGTTTTTGCTTGCTGCACTGCATTCCAGCGTTGGAACTTCGTCCTGGTCAGGAACATGAAACTTGCTCCAAGGAATGAATTTGCCTCTTCCAATTTTGTAGGATCTCCATACTCTCACACCTTGCTCGCCATACTGAACGGTGTTCACAAAGCTCACACCATCCCATTTCACTGGCTTTTTGATGGAAGACAAAGGAGACCTGCACAACACTGCTTTTACTCCAAGGACACTTCCAAAAGCGATTTCCAGGAATTTATGCATTGTTTGGAATGTAAAGTCACAAAGACCAAATCTTCTTATAAGACGAGATGTAAGACGAGAACATCGGTCGCATGCGTGGCTGTGGTTGTGATGGTAAATTTCAAGGTAGTCTGTGTCGTCTGGAAAACTTAGTGCGTAGGCTCGACAATGGTCAGGTACATTTAAGCTCGTTGAAATGTCTACCTATTAATTGAGAACAAAAACCTCGAATTAGAACGTATGATGATGACTATGGTCCCTGTCTATCTGCATGTCTTTATTAATAATTCATATCTCTGTATTGTTATAAGAACTGATGAATCACACTCGATTATTTTTAGCGTTTCAAAAGTAATAATAGTAATAATGATAATAGGGATAATAATGGTACCTTGTAATCACTCTTCAGATATCTCTCTCCTTCCTTCAGCTATTCCTTCTTTTCTTTCACCCAGGCTGAGCCCATCCAACAGTCTTCTCCGAGCTTATCGACAACACTCTCTAAGTCATCAAAACCCTTGTGCTATAATGTAATCGAGTCGCTGTAATTAGTTCCTCACACTAGCAGAGCACACATCTAGAATTTTATGAAGGGTGCTGCATCCCATCGAAGCAAAACCCGTCTCGGTGCAAAACAGGTTTTACTGTTGAATAACTCGCTCTGGGATGACCTTTCTTACCGCGTTGGGTACTGTTATTTTCTTTTCGGATGATAATTTCAATGTCCTTTCACCAAATGAAATTTCTTGGATAATGTGTTCACTTCTGATGAAGTCAAGGAAGATGTCAAGCTGTGAGACTGAGACGTACATTCTCGGCACACTACGAGTTTCAACTTCAGCACTTCTTCCATACATGTTGCCTGGCGACATGAATCCAGGAATCCAACTCTGTAACGTTCGATGGCTAACCTTGTCAGCAACAATGGATAGGATTTGCCTTCGTATGCTCCAGTGGCTCGCATTCTTGTAGCATTCTGCTAAGGCGTCAATCAGCGTTAGGTCAACTTCGTCGTCTGTCTGTGCGACGTCATTTGATATCACTAGTTTATTGAAGAGGATTTCAGCGTTCCCAGGTGCAATTTCTTCTAGGGCTGCTATCACGCCTTGTCTTGCTTTATGACTGTGGTAGCGTTGTGTTCTGCGGGCTATTGAATTCCATGATGTTAACAACTGATGACGTACAGGGCTGACATCCCTATATGCTAGGAATGCATTGAAGGCTACTCTAGAACTACTTTTTGCCTCTTTTGCGTCATCAGAATCTTCGGAGTGTTTCCGCGGTCAATCCCGGCGGTATTTCAGAACTACTACAAGTACCTTTTACCTCTTTTGTGCTTTCAAAATCTTCTGAGCACTCAGACGGATGATAAAGGCTCTCCGATGTTTCCATAGCCAATGCCGGAGGTTCATGTTTTTCTGGAGTAACCGTAGGATTCATTGGTATGTCACTACTGTTGGCCTGAGGATATACTCAAAGCACAAGTTTGAGTAGCGGCTATATGGCTTGGCACTCTATTTACGGAATTTTTTTGCACTGCAGCAGGCTCGCCAGTGCTCTTGCTTAATTAAGCCCTCCTACATTACTTACAACAACAAATAGAAATTTTAGTTTAACTTTATTTACTTTTTCAGAAGGTGTTATTGCGTTAAAAAAGGCGGTGCAATTCTATTGAACCTATCGATTAGATTGCTCACCATCTTTAGTCCTTGACTGCGAGCGTTAGTTCATCAATCTGTGACTTGCTTTCAAAACTCTCTCTGCATTTTCTACAGATACCTGTGCAATGATAATAGAAGAAACAGTTTGAAAACGATAACGGTAATGATAATGACAATGATAATAATAATGATGCTGATGATGTTGATGATGATAATAATGACAATGATGATGAAGACGATGACGACAACAACGATGACGAGCACAATGACTTTCAGTGAAAGTTAACTTTGACATGGAGCTCTCCCTTTCCATGATCGAAAAAATGACTACAAATCGTGGGCAAGTAATACAGAAAGAACAAACCTGGCCTAGCCCGCAGCCGTCAAACCTTCGACGTACTTAATTCAAGGTACGAGTTCCTGTCACCTCTAATCTGGACCTGAACCGATTTTAAGACTCACCCAGCCAATTATTTATGTTTACTGAAAAATTGCATTTCTTTAAAAGGACCAATATCTGAATACATAAAGCATATATATTACACAACAATTATCTTTTTTGTAATAGGGTTCATGAAAGCCATACCTGAACCTAGAGGTACAAGGATGCCATTTCTCTGAAATATAACTTTTGATATCGCTCTGCTGACGCCTCTGTCTCCCTTGACACCTTTTCCTTTCCCGTGGGAAGCGATCTCATCTGGAATTCTGCAGGTATTCTGGCTCCTTCGCCATCCAGTGCCAAGCTCAGAAAGGTGGAATGGACAAATTGTTCAGGCGTTTATATCTTTTGCACTCATGTAAAAAAATACCTGCTCGGGCAAGGATAAGTTCACTCACGTTCTCAAAATACCAAGCACTTTTATGACCCTGTACATCCTTATTGCACGACATTAAGGGAACCACCTCAAATAATTTACTCCTGTCTCGTCGGTCGTACCAACAAGCACTTCCAACTATAAACATAAATGAGCAAGAAGCTTCCATTTCATTTGCAAGCGAGACTTCCGATTCAAAGGGGGCGGGAAATAATTCTTTTTCTTAGTTTCACTTGAGAAAAATCGAATGGAGTAATGTTTATTAAGTTTCGTTAATTTAATTAATTGTCTCGCTTTTAAATAGAAAAGTCAACAAATCAAGCTAAATGGATGCCTAGACTCACTATTTCTTTTCCTCGTATTTGTGCCTATTTAATGGCGTCAACCGACCTCACTCGTAGGTCCAAATTATTCTGTCACACAACACGACGACTCGTACCGCAATTATGCAAATTGGGTCATGCAAGCCCTCACTCAACTCCTGCAAGGGCCTCTGTAAGGTTACATTTTGTGGATTTCGTTTACCGTAGGCTAGTTAAAAGGCACGGGTTAGCAAGTCAAACAAGGGGTAGAAACTTAAGATTCGTATGCGAGAGACCAGCAAAGTTTTTAATCTTATACCGTTGCTGGCATTGGTGCACCATCGTACTAGACAGAACAATGGCAGAATATCTCTGCAGAAACAAACTTCAAATGATAAAAGACAAAGTAATTTAACAAAACTGGGTAAAAATTTGTTATTTGTTTCTGAAAAAGTTCTCCTGTACGATTTTGAGTAATTTCGATGGCAGGAATGCTCCTTAACTCTTTGGTCATGCAATCATCATATTGGGTGATTTAATTTCCTCTGTGTGCCATTTTGAAGATTTTCCTATTGACTGCTTAACTGTCCGATTTGGTTTGTGCAATTACAAACACTTGTAATCGGACAGGTGAAAATGGACAGTGGGCTTGAGACAGTCAATTTAGCCACAAATGAGGGCTGATAAGAACCACTCATATTCAAACATCTCTAAAAACTGAGAAAACATAGTCTGAACTCGCTAATATAAGTCAATTTGTCTCTACTAAGGCCCTTTCAAACGTAAATATCGTCATGGCGATGGAATACAGCAAAGAGCAGCTCAACTACTACAGGATTTGTTACGTTGTCACTGATGTATTAACCGAGGGTCTGCGAATAATCTTCAAACAAGAATGGGACAATCTCCACGGTACAACAACGTCAGGGGAATGGAAGGATGAACCAAGAAATGGAGTGGACTTTAAAAACAAGGAGTCTGCTCGGAACCAAAAAAGAAATGCGCATCTCCTTACAACCATGATTGGTGGAAACAGAGCAGAATGGGATTGTACGATGCTTTTCTATGCTATTCTTTACTCAGATTGTATTCACCACCTCAGCCCAGTTGTCAGATCAAATGTCGATGCCCTCAGAAAGTTTCGAAATGAAGATTTTGCGCACATGTCGGAAGGAAACCTTTCAGACCTGCATTTCAAGTGCTCGGTCTTTCCACAATGAAAATTCAAGAGATTAAGAATCAAACGAGCTTTCCCACGGAGGAACTGAAAGATGTCTTGAAAATGGTTGACGATCTTAAGCAGGAGCTTTAGGAGAAAGAGCGTGAAAGACAGATCCTTGAAGATCAGTTAAACAATGATATCTCCCCCTTCTGTGTCCTCCCTCCTAAACCCTCACATGACGTAACAAGTCGCGACCGAGAGGTGGCCAAAATAATGCAACAGCTTAGAGAACTTAAAACAGCAAATAAAGACAGGCTAAGTTACCTTTACATCTCCGGAAATCCTGGAAGTGGAAAGTCTCAACTAGCGGGTCTTGTGACTGAACGATTCTATAGAGATATTAAAGATTTTCCGGATGGTACCTCATTTGTGATGACGATAAATGGTGAAAGTTCAGATACTGTGCTTCAATCGTATGTGGCTTTTTCACGGCGTCTTAAGTGTCCCGAGTACGCGGTGACAACCACCCTCCATTCAGAGGACTTGACAACAAATGAGAAAATCTCCAATCTTAGGGCATTGATCGGAACGAAAATTGGGCTTTATACATCGTGGCTGCTCGTAGTTGATAATGTCGCGAGTCTATCACATGTGCATGTCCATCTACCCGAAGCCGAAAATGAGATGTGGGCAAGAGGCCAGTTGCTTATCACAACTCAAGACAGTGGGTCAATTCCTCAAGCAAGTTCCTTCAACAAACACATCTCAATAAGCAACGGAATGAATCTTGATGATGTCAGTTGTTTATTGGAAAAGCTGTCAGGAATCACGGACAAAGAGATGGAAATCAAAGTTGCTCAGGCGTTGGACTACCAGCCACTCGCCTTGGCAAGTGCCGCCACTTATGTCAGAGAAGTTCGACAGACATCTAATTTTGGCTGGAAAGACTATCTTGCAAAACTCGAAAATGGCCAAAGAAATGCCATGGAGACATTTCTTGCCGAAGTCAACCCAAGCTATGCAAAGTCCATGACCACAGCAACAACACTGGCCGTAGAAACAGCTATGGAATCCAACAAAATTATGCATCACGCCTTTAATTTCCTGTCCCTGTGTGCACCACAACCATTAAGTCTTAATATCATTGATGACTTTATCACAAATGTGGATAAAGAAATTCAAGACAAAGAGATGATTCGTTTGAAGATACAAAGGTGCTCCCTGCTGATGTTTGAAAGAGACGAAACTGACGTTTACATTCGGGTGCATCAGGTTGTACATAATTCCATTAAGACTTTGGCTGCAGCTCATTCGGATGATAAGCACAACGAGGTCGTCAGTGGAGTGATTGGATCATTCAATCGTTTTGTAGAAAAATATCAATCAAGGGACAACGACGAGTTCTATGCTCTAATAAACAGCAGACATGTTACTCATTTGATAAATTTAGCTACAGAACTTGAGAGATGTTTTTCTAAGAAGGTTATTTCTCAAGTCGACCAAGATGGCTTTTTGATCAAGAACCATGCGATGGACCTCCATAGAATGAGTATATTTTGCTACATGCATTGTGAATACGAAACTTCAAGACGTTTCATCGAAATGGCATTAGACTTATTCATTGTCAACGAGCACGACCCTGGCTTAGATATTGCAGTTATCTACAGACACGTGGGTAACGTGCACGAAAAGCTGAGTGACCTGAGTCAGGCAAAGGATTATCATGATCGTGCACTGGCCATTCGTCTGAAAAAGCTTGGACCTGACCATGTTGACGTTGCAAGTTCTTACAATAACCTGGGTGTTGTACACGAAAAGCTGGGTGACCTGAGTCAGGCAAAGGATTATAAGGATCGTGCACTGGCCATTCGTCTGAAAAAGCTTGGACCTGACCATGTTGACGTTGCAAAATCTTACAATAACCTGGGTATTGTACACAAAGAGCTGGGTGACCTGAGTCAGGCAAAGGATTATTATGATCGTGCACTGGCCATTCTTTTGAAAAAGCTTGGACCTGACCATGTTGACGTTGCAAATTCTTACAATAGCCTGGGTATTGTACACGAAAAGCTGGGTGACTTGAGTCAGGCAAAGGATTATAAGGATCGTGCACTGGCCATTCGTCTGAAAAAGCTTGGACCTGACCATGTTGACGTTGCAAAATCTTTCAATAACCTGGGTATTGTACACAATAAGCTGGGTGACCTGAGTCAGGCAAAGGATTATCATGATCGTGCACTGGCCATTCGTCTGAAAAAGCTTGGACCTGACCATGTTGACGTTGCAAATTCTTACAATAGCCTGGGTATTGTACACGAAAAGCTGGGTGACCTGAGTCAGGCAAAGGATTATCATGATCGTGCACTGGCCTTTCGTCTGAAAAAGCTTGGACCTGACCATGTTGACGTTGCAAAATCTTACAATAACCTGGGTATTGTACACGAAAAGCTGGGTGACCCGAGTCAGGCAAAGGATTATTATCATCGTACACTGGCCATTTTTCTGAAAAAGCTTGGACCTGACCATGTTGACGTTGCAACGTCTTACAATAACCTGGGTAGTGTACACGAAAAGCTGGGTGACCTGAGTCAGGCAAAGGACTATTATGATCGTGCACTGGCCATTCGTCTGAAAAAGCTCTGACCTGAGCACATTAAGGTCACAGCTGCTTGCAATGACTCGGGGCTTGCGCGCGTTTTACTAATACTGCTGCAGGTACGTTTTATTCTCCTTCTTCGCTTTCACTGCCGGTCTCTAATTCATTGTCAATAATCTCCTTTGCATCTTCCGTCTCTTTATTCTCTTCTTCCCAAACTGCATCGTCTTCTGAGCCGTCTAGCGCATTCGCGATTCCACAGGATTTGAATGACTTCTCAGTTAAATCTTGAGGAATTCCGTTCCAGGCGCGATCGATCCAGGTCAAGACCAGTTCTTTGCTCGGCGCTCTCTTTTTTCCAGATGGGGTATACGTGAATGGGCCATTTACCATCCATATTTCATGCGGCATTCGGAGTTTGGCTTTGAAAGGCTTGTTTATGCACTTGTCTAGGGGCTGCAAAACTGACGTCAGGCCACCGGGAATAACAGCAACATCAACACTTCGTCTCGCACTGTTCGGTTGCCCGTAAACTCGAGGGTTCTTGTGGCTGGCAGCTCAAATCGTACAGGAGTTTCGTCCGTGTTTAGGATGTGGCTTAACTGGTAGTCATGCCGTCTCCGGGCCCTCAACACAAACCGATGGAATTCGACGATCTTCTCCTCCATGTCTGCTGGTAGTTTTACAACTAGGAGTTCGACCA